AGAAAGGTCTGGTGATCTACTTCTGAAAAATCAGCCATTGAAAACCCTATGGAGCACAGTTCTACTCTGACACAGAGGGGTTGGCCTGAGTCTGGGTCAACTTGACGGCAACCGGTATAACTCATAGAGCTATTGTGAAGATAAAATGAGGTGTTCAAAATGTAAAACTCTTGAAATTGTGTCTGGCACAATGCCTCTGGTAGTAATTACATTTCATAAAACATTTAGTTTCACCCTGTTGTGACTTCCCATTCATTGATGTTCGGAATAATCTGGGCAATCTTTATATGAAGACTCATACCTACTCAATATGAAGCCCATGCTATGCTATATAACTAATATGAATGATCTTTCATGTTCAGGGTTGTGGATATCCTTCCTGCTATGAATTAGTCTTTCAAAATTCAAATTTATCTAGGTGGATGTCTGTACACTTGTGGCTTGAGGGGAAGAAATAAAATGGGGGTAAATCCACGTTTACTTGGCTGGTGTACATAGATACAACAAGGCATTTTAAATTTAGAAGTTATTTGTGAACCCATTTAGATAAATATGACTAATAGCTCTCTGGTGTATATTCTGGGAAGGCTAATGCCATCACATACTTTATCTTATTTAATCATTATAAGAACCTTGTGCAATAGATATTGCTATTCCCATTTTACCAGTGAGGAAACAGGTTCAGAGGGTTTAGTTAACTTGTTTAAGATAGTACAGCTGGTAAATGACAAATCTTACTTTTGAACCTGTGTCTTCTGACTCCAGAGCCTGGACATCTCTGCTAGACCTTTCTGCTTTCTGACTCTCTTGTGTTAAAGATGAGGAAGCAAGATAACCAAAGTTGATTTATATTTGGCCAACTTCATTACTTGATTGGGAATCTTTTGGGAGAGCCCAGAGGTGTTTTGTTTTTTTTTTTTTTTAATATAAATTAAATGGATATAAATATCCAGGACTTTTTTTTTTTTTTAAAGTCTAATTGCAAGAGTAGCATAAACGCAACCTCATAGATTTGGATTCTCTGCCATGAGAATCTATGTAAACCTCCTCAGAATCCTTAATATTTTTTGGATTGCTGGAAAAAAAACCAAATATCTCTTATTCAGTAGAACAGTCACATGATCAAAATTATCTCTTACATCTTCCATGTTCTTGTAAGAAAGGAAATGATATACAGGCAAAATGAGTTATTTTTAAGCTTAAGCTTCTTGGAATGTTTGCTGCCGGTAGAAAATAAGAAATAAATAGAAAACATGCCATGTTGCTAACATACAGGAGAGTCATTGGTTCTAATTTTTATTTTTTAATGAAAGACACAGCACACTTTCAATGGACAGATCCATCTCCAGTCCCAAGTCTGCATATTCACTGATGCTTCTTCACTGTCATATTGACTGATATCCATAAATTGGAAATAGCCTTGAGGAAATTAATCAGCATCTTAATTATAGTATTTTTTAAAATAGATACTATTCACTGGGCTTTATCACCAGAGTACAAATTGATACAACCAATTTGAAAAACTGGCAATATGTACCCTATGACCTGGCACTTCCACTCCTAGGCCCAAAAGAAATAAATGCATATGTTCAAAGATGATGTGTTCAAGGGTGAAAAATGAAAGACTCTGCATTATATAACACACAGTCATGGGGAGGAAATAAAACAATTATGTATTTCTGAGAAGGTCAGTTTAATGAAACTACAAAGCTCACTAGAAATTCAGCAGACAAATATTTATTCAACACCCGATAGGGGCTGATCAACAAAACCTACATGGTCCTTTTCCTAATGGAGTTCACAATCTAGTGCAGTGTTTTCACCTTTTCTTTTTTTTTTAAACAAAAAACCATCGTCATCCCCCTAAGGAGCCATTTTAAAAATTTTGTTAAAAAACTTCTCCCATCACCATGAAATTTTAATGTCACAGATGTACTATGTAACTGTTTATGTACTGTGGCACTTTGGAAGGTCACAAACCATTGTAATGTCTAAGATTCTTCCCCCCAACAACTAATTTTTGCTCCCTTGGAGGTGATAACACCTCCATTGAGAATACATGGTCTAATGGGAAGCCCAATACTAAATAATCACACAAACTTACAAAGAATAATAAACTCTGAACAGTACCATGAAGAAAAAGTATAAGTTCTGTGAAAGTGTATGAAAGACAAGCCTAATTGAGGTTCCAGGATAAGTCCCTTTGAAGAAGTCATATCCAAGCCAAGAGTTGAAGGATGAGTAAGAGTTAACTGGGAGACTAGTAGAAGGTGGAGCATTCTTTCCAGGGGAACATCTGCAAAGACCCTAAAACAGGACTGAGCTTAGTGTGTTGGATAAACTGAAAGGAGGCCAGTAGGGCAGGTGGGTATCGGATGAGAGGAAGAGGAGGCTGGAGAGTAGGCAGGGGCCCAATTGTGCAAGGCCCGGTAGGTCATGGTAAGAGTTTTTGATTCTGTCCTAGTGTAATGGGAATCCATTAAAGAATCTTTAGCAGAGGGTGCTCATATTTTAAGAAGGCTCGTTATGGATAATGGATTGGAGAAGTCAGAGCAAAGCGGGGAGATCAGAAAGGAGGTAATTGCACTGATTCTGATCACAGAACTCTAAGAGGATTTTGTTAAAACTGTAAAGGCACTCCCTCATCCCCTTTGCCCACCAAAAACAAGGACTAACCTGATTGCTGACATTTTATTTAGTTCTTCCAAAGCCCCTGAATGCCCCAAATGTGATCGACACTGGACATAACTTTGCTGTCATCAACATCAGCTCTGAGCCTTACTTCGGGGATGGACCAATCAAGTCCAAGAAGCTTCTATACAAACCTGTTAATCATTACGAGGCTTGGCGGCATATTCCAGGTAAGGTTTGGAAAGTAGAGGCCCAACTAGGAAAAAAAATTTCCCAAATATGGAAATCCTCTCCTCCCTGCTGGATCCTTTACCCAAGGTGGTGGCTGTAGCAGAGGATTCTATTTCAGGAGTGGAGAGAGTGCGGGAACACTTCTGAGTTTTAGGGCTAACTTCCCGGAAGTCGTCAGGTGCTAGGGACACACACTAACTTGCATCAGGATATTATATTGATATCAGTATACATAATATTTCCTTCCCAGGCTTCTCTGGATCTCCAGTCCTGATTTTAGTTACTCTATCTTGCTTGATCATAGCGAAAAATACATGTTTGCACTATGAATATGGAAATAGGAAAGTCCAGAGCCTGTTGGAAAGGCAGAGACATGTAATCTCCCTAAATCCTAGGGGTGATGGCTGCTGCTGTGTCAAGTTGTCTATTTTTTCTCTCCTTCCCTGTCCTGCTCTGTCCTGCAGACTCCTAACACCCAGAAACTGTTAGAGGAATTTGGACCTGAGAAGGTTGAGCTTTGGCCGAATGAACTGGGGTAGGGGGAAGGGGTGTGGGCAAAGAGAGTGACATGGCTCTCCTCCAACTTCCTGAAGAAAAAATACAAACAAAATTTGAGAAAATATCCAAATTTTTTGAAAACAGTTAAATATATTTTTTAATACAAATTACACTTGTATTTGTTTCATGATGTTTATCAATTGACTACGCTTTCTTAATTGCACTATTTTGTAGGGAGACCTGCTACGACCTGCTTATAGGTAATGTGTGTCCCTCTGCTAATAGTCTAAGGCATAGTCTCACTAAGTCTATGATTTCCTAAAAAGGGCTCACTACCCACATTGTAGATAATTGAGGAAGTTACAAAAAAAGGAGAGGAAAGGGAGGGTTGTTGGCTTCATAATTTCAGCTGAGCTGGCTACCTTGAATAAAGTCATCATACTATTACCGAGCTCTTGTAGACCCAGCCAAAAGTCAGAATCCCAGGGACATAAAGCTGATCTAATGGATTGTTGCTGCCAAATCAATGGCTTGGTCTTATTAAAAAACAGATTCATATTTTTTCCATAATTATCTCTTTGTGCAAGTGGACATCCACAAAGTGGTCTTCGAAGAACTCTTAAACAAGGCTCAATTGTTTTTTTACTGACTGGGAATTTATCATTTGATAAGGCAAAAATTTACCTTCGCAATATCTGTGGAGAAATAGAGACTGAGAAAAGTAAATAGTTAAGGAAAAAATAAGAGGCATATATAATTTCCTTTGGGAATCTACGCTCAAATGCTTTCAAATCCTTCATTTGTGATCATTACAGATCAGTGATCCAGTCATTATAAGCAAACCCTCTTAGAGTCTCTTCTCTTGATAGCTTGACTGCAGTAAGTATATGTACTTGAAATCACAAAAAATTAATTTATTTTATATTTTTCTAATTGAGGTTTTTTTCCCTAAATCTGATTGGTATTCTATGTAGTTGAGGATTGGTGAACTTGAAGTTTTACTTTACAAATGAAAAGACAAAAGAACTAGCACAGAAAAGTATAAGTAGCACAGAAATACATATAATAATGTATACATTATAACCTGGAAACTTCCTTTAGAAAGTCTTATTTTCGTTATACTGAACGGTGAGGCCCTGAAAATGGAATTGCCGCTCTGTTTCCCTAAGACATTGTATTTTTAAAAACTTAACGTTAGTTCACAATAACAACAATTCGAGTTTAAAGAATGTCAAAGAATGCCAACTTAAGTTTCCTGGACTTTCCCTCTTCTCAGTGACAAGTGAGATTGTTACCCTCAATGCTTTGGAACCTCGAACAGAATACGAGCTCTGCGTGCAGCTGATTCGGCGCGGGGAGGGCGGAGAAGGGCATCCTGGACCCGTGAGACGGTTCACAACAGCTTCCATAGGTTAGTTCAAGCCAACAGGCATCCATCCATGAGCTGGGTGGGAGGGGAAGGAAGGGGAAAGAGGAAGGAAGACCAGGAAGGGTGGTGGTGGGTGAGTGGTGGGTGGGGATGGAGGTGGAAGGAGTTTGCTTTTGAATGGGTGGGGAAAGTGACAGGAAGGCTAGCAACTTGAGCCAAACTGTTCTTTTATTTGGGCTGGACTCTTGGCCTACCTCCCTAAGGGAGAGGGTTTGCAGAAGTCCGAAGGGACAGAGAAGGAAGCAGATGAGCCTTCAGGAGGGCAGGGACATCCCTTAGGAGTTGGGATTTACTCAGTAGCAACTGTGCTGAGCCTTGGCTTCTGCACTGTACCACCAGTTTCCTGTTTCCCTCTTAAGGACCCAGGCCAGGCTCGGGCCACACACACACCTCAGAAATCCCAGTGTATTTATTTTTAAAAATAACTTCTAATTTTTCGAAGTAATTCACGTATGTAGTTAAAACAGCAAATAAGGCTTTTATCTAAAGAACAGCCATCCCCTGCTCTACTGCTCTAGCCCTCAATCCTGCTTCCTAGTGGTGAGTACTTGGAATTCCTCAGCTATTTCTTACAACATTTATCTCCATGTTTCAAAATCAATGGTTCTCCAACTTTAGCATTCATCAGAATCACCCAGATTTGTTAAAATGGAGATTGCTGGGCCCCATCCCCAGAGTTTCTGATTCAACTGGCCTGAGGTGACGATGGGGCTGAAGAATTTGCATTTCTAATAAATTCCCAAGTGATGCTGATGCTGGTGGTTCTGAGTCCACACCTTCTAAATAACATGTTAGCAATATTTCTTGATTTATCAGTGTTAGTCAGTATCTATTGACCTTCTATCATGTTAATTGGAGAGCCCTGGGCTCCAGCTTTCTGCTACCCAGGGTCCCTCCTCTGAAACACTGGAGTGGCCCCTTTAAAAGTCTCTTTCCTGGTTGTTTGACTTGTCCACTGTGTATAATCATTCCGTCACTATGTCCTGGTCAGTGCTTTACAGTTTCAGGTTTACATATGTGTAACTCACATGACGTTGAAGGGTATGAATGACCATATTCCCCACTTTACAAATTGAAGAGTGGACTCTCAGAATGGTTGGTAACTTGCCCATGGTGATGCATCTTATGCAAGTCAGATCCGGAAATTTTGAAACGAGATCTTCAGACTCCGTATCTTTTTGTTTCTCTAATTCTTATTATTTTTACCAAGGAGTCCAGAGGCATCATTTCCTTAGCCCAACTGATAGACTTTCGCATTTTCTAGTCCATTTACTACAGGCAGCAGGATACAGAATGATGTAATGAGAAAACTAGGAAGAGCATCTAGCTTCCTTGAAGAGATTATGCACCCCTAAAGAGACCCCCTTCCACACCAACCAACTTGTTTTCATCTGACCAGCAGCATCCTTGAAAAACCAAATGGGACTCAAGAGCTCCTCTGGCACCGTAGAAGCATTGCACAAGAAATGGCTTCCCTGGAACCCACTGCATTGTAAACACAAAAAATAAAACCAGAAAAAATAGAGTAGGCTTGACCACTATACATAAGTTAGAGAATAAAGGGACCTCCGCGGCTATAATCAAAGGGCCCCCTGTATGGCAACAGGTTAATGGAAATTAATTCTCTCTCAGGTCATTGTTAATGAATCAAAAGGGGAAGGTCATAATCTGACTCAGATGGAAAGTATTTATGGGAGAAAACATAAAACACTTCACAGTCCCACACTGCACTGTCTTCAGCCCTCAGAATATCTTCCAGCCAAGATGTATTTTGCGGTCTCTTGGAATATATCAAAGAAGTTCTCAGGGGTGGGTGGGAAGGGAATTCTTGAAGGTTCTCCTTTTCCCATCATTTGAATTTTGCTGATGTTTGTTTTTTAATTCATCTGACAGTTATACTACTTATAAATGTGTTGATTGAGGTGATAAAGGCCAGGGAGGCCAGGAGCGGAGGGAAGGGAGCATGTTATGAACACATGGCAGAAAGAAGGTGCATGGGTAGAGGCAAAGAGTAAATCATATTCTCAAAGGGAAATGACCATTTATTGCGTTACTCCTCTGTATCAGGCACAGGCATTCTGCTTTGTCACTGTAAGCCTGCTGAACCACTGTGGGTTGCTTATTTTACAATTTAAGCTTTAATGATTAGCAAAAGGAGTTGACATCCCCTCTCTCGATTGGCTGAGGTTATAAGGAAAAGACCAGTAAGACTTTTATCCTAATGCCAAGCAAATTGCCTTACCTGATTGCTGGTTCTCAGCAGTCTAACAGCAATCAGAACTGGCCAGTGGGAGTTACTCTCCAGGTGGATGGAAACTGACCATTTCTCCCACCAGAAGGCATTCCTCTCACCCTCAAGAGGAAGAGCAATGTTTCTCGACCCTTTTTTCATTGTTGCTTTCCTAAAGGGCTTTTAAAGACATTTTTGTTCTCTTACTCCACCCATGAAATTTTATGGGTCTTTGTAAACCATTGCAATGGCTTAATTTTCACCCTCTAAGAACCCTAAGGAATCCTAGTGGTGCAGTGGTTAAAGTGCTTGGCTACTAACCGAAAGGTCAGTGGTTTGAACCCACCAGCTGCTCTGAGGGAGAAAGATGTGGCAATCTGCTTCTGTAAGGATTCACAGCTTTGGAAACCCTATGGGACAGTTCTACTCTGTACTATAGGGTTGCTATGCGTCAGAACTGACTCAACTGCGATGGGTTTTTGGTGTTTTTTTAAGAACCAATAACATCCCCACTGAGAATGCATGAGTTAGAGGATCCCTAACTTGCGTTTTGAATGGACTTTGTATTTGGATTTTAAAAATCAATTTACTATTATTAATTGAAGGAAACCACACAGAGTCCTCTTCTGCCCATGGTACAAGATATGACAGCTTAGGAAGTGAGGGAGGGAGGAAAGAAATTAATGTTAACAGAGCCCCTAACATCTTGATATATCTATTATTTCCTATCTTTTATCTCATTTATTCCTCCTAAGTCTGGAAGATGGGTATTTTCATTTCCATCTTACAGATGAACTTGGAGAGGTTATAAATTTGCCCAAGGACATGAAACTAAAGTGGCATGTTTCTGTCTCTCTAACTTCAAATTCCATATTTTTTCCACTCAGCCACCTCTCTGGTAACCCAGGTTCTTGTCGGTTATTATGACCAGGCAACAAACATGTGGTCATAGCTGTGACCTTAATGAGATCAGAGCAGGCCTAGGCCTGGCCCTGCCACCACAACTGTTATGATGTCTGAAATGCTCCTTCCTAAGAAGTAACCTCAAAATTGCTATAAAGTGTATTGCTCAAAATGGTAACAGAAACACTGAACACTCACCCATAATTACACAAACTTGGCTAATTGTTTTCAAGTTTACCTGTTTTCATGTTTATCAGTTGGCTTCCTATTCTTATCCAACTGTAGACAGGGCTTTTACCAAGTTACAATGAAAGCTTTCTCTCATGTATTATAAATATTTTTCTTTTCTTCCATAACCTTCCTTATTATCTATTTCCATCCATTGGTTATGTATATCATAATTTACTAAAACATTCCCCTATTGCTGAGCATTTAGGTTTTCACTGTTTTTGCTATCAGAATTAATATTATGACAAACATCTTTACCCACATAGTTTTTTTCTCTTCATGTAGATTATTTCCTTAGGATAAATCCCTCATGGTCAGATTATGAGGCCAAAGTATATGGCCTCAAACTAAGGCTCTTGAAAAATATTCCCAAATTGTTCTCCAAAGGGATTGCACTCCTGTATTACAGTTGCCCAAATTAGGTATTAAAATTATTTTAAAGGTTTACTATTTTGGTAGAATAAAAGATTTGATATGTCTGTTAGCTTGTGTTTCTTTGCTAGCTTGTGACGTGGTATATTATTCTAGAAGCCAAGGTTAGTATTAAAGCTGCCCATTTGGGGCTGTCTTTTACCTCCATCCTATGTAAAAATAATGATCTTCCTGGTTTCTCCTAGGCCTCCCTCCTCCAAGAGGTCTCAGTCTCCTACCAAAGAGTCAGACCACGCTAAATTTGACCTGGCAACCAATATTTCCAACCTCAGAAGATGATTTTTATGTTGAAGTGGAGAGGAGATCTGTGCAAGTGAAAAGTGACCAGCAAAATATTAAAGTGCCAGGCAACTTGACTTCAGTGCTACTTAACAATTTACACCCTAGGGAGCAGTATGTAGTCCGAGCCAGAGTCAACACCAAGGCCCAGGGGGAATGGAGTGAAGATCTGACTGCTTGGACCCTGAGTGACGGTAAGTAACTCACTCTGCCCCGACTTTCCTGAACAACATCCAGCTACTGCCATTTGGACTTAGCTCACTTTACCTCAAGACTGTTTCTTAGAAATCAGAAAGGGCAATCAGTTGTGAGTGAAAGCTTAGTGTCCCCCTCCTACACCAAATCTCATTTAATAACCTTGGTGGAAAAAATAATTAAGAACTCAGCTACTAACCAAAAGGTTGGCAATTCAAATCCACTGAAAGAAACGCCTGGTGACCTACTTCCGAAAGGTCACAGCGCCTGAAAACCCTATGGAGCAGTTCTAGTCTGAAACACATGGGGTTGCCATGAGTCTGAATCAACTCAACGGCAAATTTTTTTTTTTTTAATATATAAGAAAGCTCCATGAATTTGTATTTGCAATAATTTAGGCAGGACTGTGCTAAAATTTACCTTTCCTTGGTATGGAGTTATTTTTTAAGTAAATTAATACCATGAATAACGCTTTATAGGGCTTGTTAATTGTTACAGAACAGTTTTTAAGGATTGCTGTATAAATATATCTAGATTCAAACAGATGCTGGTTACTTACAGATGGGTCTTTCCTAATCTTAAAAGCCAAATAGCTTTGCTTAAAAACTTTTCATAACAATTATTGAAATTATATAAATCTGAAAGTAATAAAGCCACTTTTCTTTCAAAATATTCTACAGTTAAAGTTTTTCTCTGTTTCAGATTGGTTGTTTAAAATTAGTTGGAACTTCTAAGGTTTCCTTGTAGTATTGAAAGCTTTCTGATCATTGAGCAGAGAGTCTATTTGGATTGACTGCATTAGAACTGTGTCTGGGCGTTAGGAGCCCATGGAAGGATAGATGGTTCTTGGCCACACCAGTAACCACTTAAGTTGGGATCTTTTGGTCCCTTGCCACCTCCCCAAGTCTGAGGCTGTCTTCTGTGTTGGGTTCTCTACTTCCTCCATTACAGCTAGCAGGCTACAGTGTGGAAGTGGGCTCAGAGTTTCTCTAGCCACTCTTTTCCTTCATCAGCGACTCATGGAAGTCTGAACTGTTTTGTCTGTGTTTAGAGATACTTCATTAGATTTAAAAAAAAATTGTGAAATATAAAGGTAACAGAAGAATGCAGAGAATATACAACAAACATCCACATTCCTACCACCCAGGATGAACAACTGGAATTTTTGTTGTATTTGCTTTTAGTCTTTTTTGTTGATTTGTGGAAGTAATAGCACAATACAAATATATCAAAATCATTTCACCTTCATCCCTACTCCAGTTCCATCTCCTTCTCCCCAGAAACAAACAAAATGATTAACTTATTATTTTCCACTCTATTTTGTATAATTTTAAGAAATATATCTACTAAATACACATATGTATCCATAAGTGTATATATGCATAATATCATTCTTCATCTTGCTTTTTTTGAATAAACATTCAGCTACTTCCATGCTAATTTTTTAGATCTGATGTACCCCTTCTAACTTCCATATATTTTATCTTAAGAATATATCATTTTATATATCCATTCCCTTTAAGATGGACATTTAGGTTGTTTTCTTTTTTTTTACTATAACAAACAAAAATGCAATGACCATCCTTCATAGATGTCTCTATGTTCATAGCTGTGAGAACTTTTCTAGGGAACATGTCCAGAATTGGAACCGATGGGTCATTTCTCTCTAGAGTGACTAGTCAATGTGCATTCTGTCTAGGACTATATGAGAGTATCATATTCCCTATATCCATCTCTCTCTGTGAGTCTTTTTCCTATATTTATACTACTTGATATTGTCAGACATTCTTATTTTTACCAATCTCAAAGGTGAAAAATGATAACTCATTGTTAGCTTCAATTTTCATTTCTTTGATAACTAGTGAGGCTGAGTATATTTTCTTATATTCATTGGACATTTGGATTTCCTCTTTTGTAATATACTTGTTGATAAACTTTGCCCATTTACTATTTGTTGTTTGTCTTTTTTTATTGATTTGTAGAAGTTCTTTATATAGTCAGGATATTAATATTGTTATATACATTGCAAATATATTCTCTGACTCCCTTTATTTTTGCCTTGTTTATGGTACCTTTTACCCCAAAGACATTTTACATTTTAATGTAATCAGACCTGTTAATATTTAGCTTTATGGTTTATGCTTTTTGTGTTTAGTTTAAGGAATTCATCCCTATTCCAAGGTCATAAATATATTCTCTGTATTTTTTCTAATAGTTCTAGTGTTTTTGTTTTGCATGTTTAGATCTTTAAGATACAGGGATGTTATTTTGGGGCATGGTGCAAGATTTGATTTTAATCTCATTTATTCACATATGGAAAGCCAATGATCCCAGTGCCATATATTGAATAAAATAGTCCTCCTAGTGATTTGTGATGCTTTTTGTATCATATGCCAAGTTCTCATACTTATTTTGCATCTATTTCTGAGTACTCTATTCTCATCCATTGACCTATGTATTTGTTCAGGTACCATTTTCAGCCTACTTAAATTACTACAGAGTTATAAAATATCTTGATAACTAGAGAGTGAACCACTCTTTTTCTTTATCAAAATTGTCTTCTCATTCACTCTTCTATATGACTTTTCGTTGGAATTAAACACTATTGAAATATAATAATCAGTATTATATCTGTAGAATTAAATGAAAACTAGCTAGTAGTCACTGCTCCATAAATACGTTTAGGGCAGAGACAGGAGGAGGTATGGCACAGTGGCTAAGACTGTGGACTATGGAGCCAGACTGCCAGAGGTTAAATCCGGTTTCTGCTACTTAATAGCTTTGTAACCTTGGGAAAGTCACTTAGCTTCTCTGGGCTTCAATACTTATGGTTCGATTATTATAAAGAAGAAATCAGTTAGTATATAAAAGGGACTAGAATAATACCTGTCACATTGTTAGCACTATACAAATGTCTGCTTTTATAATCTTGCTATTCTCCACAGCATCAAGAACAGTGTAATATAGGCCTGTGGAGGGCGTAACAGAATTTATGAAGACTTAATTTAACATAAGGATGGCAAGAATGTGACATGTATGTTACCATTTCACCCTTTTGCCTTTCTGCCAAGTCTGCATGGTGTCCAGTAACCACTACCAATTAATTGGAATCACCCTTTGAGAAAATGCCTATTTGCCATCCATGGTTTATGAGCTGACATTAACCATCTCTCAAAAGCATAATAATCTAAGTGATGATAGTATCTTAAGTGAAACATTGTGTTTTTTTAAATTTCTAGTTCTCCCTCCTCAACCAGAAAACATCAAGATTTCCAATATCACAGACTCCTCGGCTACTGTCTCTTGGACAATATTGGATGGCTATTCTATTTCTTCTATTATCATCCGTTACAAGGTTCAGGGCAAGAATGAAGACCATCACATTGACGTGAAGATCAAGAATGCCACCATCACCCAGTACCAGCTCAAGGGCCTAGAACCTGAAACAGCTTACCAGGTGGACATTTTTGCAGAGAACAACATGGGGTCAAGCAACCCAACCTTTTCTCATGAACTGCTGACCCTCTCAGAATCTCAAGGTTGGTGGACAGGTATTTACATAGGATTATTTTGGGATAGCATCAGAAAAATCCTGCTCTCTTAAGATATTTACCCTATTTGCATACTATGTGACTTAATTCAATTGTCCTAACAGGCTTCACCATCTCTCAATATGTCCTTGCAATGAAAATGCCCTTAGAAAGGATACCCAGTTGGTCCATTTTCTATCATTAAACATTGGAATAAATTAGACTGTCAGCTTGTTCCCCATTCAACAACCTAAGAAGAATGCTTTGAAGGAATACGAATTTGATTCTGTGAAGAAAGAAGTATGTGGAACTTGTTTGACAGAGTCAGTCTTGAGTAGACACTTCAGTGGGAGATTCCAAGAACCATACTCCACCAACCCTCAGAATGAACTCATCTTTCAGCTTCGATGACACCATGATATTCTAAATTTTCTTTTACTTCTCTGATCTAGGTTATGTCTCCAGCTCTACCAATAATCCCCACTCCAAAGAGAGTACCTAAACTCTTTGAGATCAATATCCCCTTAGAGTGCCAAGCACACTATTCCCTCTGTTTGTGATTGATGAAACCTGTTAAATGCGATTGAGTGAAGAAGGCCCCCAGGTGTGGGCCCAGCTGCAGCATGCGGAGTGCCTTCCCTTTGTAGTCTGTGCAAATGGCGCCCCCTAGCTTTCTGCACTGCACAACATACACAGTGAAATGTGATATGATGGGAGACAGAAATGGCGAGTTTTGCCAATTTGTATTTTGCCTAGAGCCAATTTTCACAATCTAAAAGCACTAAAAATCTCTCGGTTTTCTCAGAGGATTACCAGGGTTTAAGAAATAAAATAAAACAAGCTCTGTGCTCAGTGCTGATTCTTTGCAACCTTTTCGAAATGCCCAAGAAATGATGCATCAGCCAATTAGAGAGAGTAGTTTTCAGATCACAATCCTAATAAATGTATAATTTTTATAATTACAGTTGTTTTGGTAAAGTGTATACATACTCTAAATCCAAGTTATATGTAAAATACAGACAGGAAAAAAAAAAGACAAAGCAAAACAATAAACTCTCAGCATTCCAGATGCCTCTCTATGCATGCATAAAGATAGAAGGGAAGGTAGATAATCATATAAGACTATTTTTATAAGGATGGGACCATGTTCTACATGCTGTTTTTAATAAAAATATATTAAGCTTCATTTTATTTCAATTTAAATAAGGGAATGAAGTGGGAGGATTAGACCATAGTCTTTAATAGTTTATTTTGACCTGAGCCCTAAATCTAGTGATTTTTCTCCTTTGTCTTTCCCTTCCTTTGTTCCTTCCTCTTCCCCCTCCATCTTTCCCTCCAAAGTGTATTTTCCCAAAGTCATACATTTGGTTAATTATTCTTAATATTATTCAATAATGTTCCTCTGTTTGAGCCTCTACATGGAAGTAAAACTTGAACAAATGGCAACTAATAATTAGCACATTGCCATTTATAAAGAGCTTTACATATTTATTTCTTTAGATCTTATAACAGCCCTATGAGTCAGACTTATCTCCCCTGAGGTTCAGAAAATGAACGAGTACCCCAAGGTCGCAAAGCAATAGTGGCAGGGCTAAGGCTGTCATTGCATTCCCATTATGCTATGTCTTCCACCACAGATGGTCTTGACCTATCTCTGCCTAAACTAATCTTGCTTCTTTGCCTCTGTTCTCCTGCACAGTGGGAACGAACCTCGGAGGTGGGAAGATGCTGCTTATAGCCATCCTTGGCTCCGCTGGAATGACCTGCCTGACGGTGCTGTTGGCCTTTCTGATTATGTTGCAATTGAAAAGGGCAAATGTCCAAAGGAGAATGGCCCAAGCCTTCCAGAACGTGGTAGTATCTCATCTTCTTACTAGTTAATAAGTGCAAGTTCACATATATGCAGAAACTTCACTTTGCAGGGGACCAGAAATTTGCTTGCAAAGTAAATATTTCCCTTAGGCAAGTACCATCTTCTCTTTGGCTTTCATCATGAAATAGGAGATAAATAAAATGACAATACAGTTTCTGGAAACCCTGGTGGCATAGTGGTTAAGAGCTATGGCTGCTAGCCAAAAATGTCAGCATTTCGAATCTACCAGGCACTCCTTGGAAACCCTATGGGGCAGTTCTACTCTGTCCTATAGGGTCGCTATGAGCTGGAATCGACTCGATGGCAATGGAATATAATTTCTTGTTCAAACTGGAACAATTTTGTAGGTCAGAAGGGTTCTCTTGGTAATTATGCAGGAAATCAGGCCTAAAACAGGATTGTCCCAGCCAAAATGAGATGTAGACTATCCTAGTGATAAGTCACCAAAGAGAATAATCTTGTAATAGAACAAATTAAACATTTTTGGTATAGAAAGCTAGAAATATAACTAGACTCTCAGGTTGATGGGTAATGGTGTATTGTAGTAACCAAGCTTTCCCTGTGTTTTCCTATTTCTAGTTCCCATACCCTATTTTGAATATTTTCGTCAATCCTATCATCCCTTGTGTATATATGAATTATACATGCATAAGTTTATCCCCCATTCATATGTACACTTTCAGTCTGCAGTCATTGTTCATGGCCCTTGACACTGCCTCATTCTTTCATCTAGGGATTTTAACCAGAAGCAAAGGTCTACAAAATCATACCTTACCAATAGACACCCCACCTGAGCCCTTTTTGTTTACTACAGCCTGAGTATTCCTCTAGTGTATGGTTTCAGGCTCTGTAACATTAATTCATACCCAACCTTATCAATTGTTTATAAAGTATTGAGTACAATTACATGTTTCAGATGAGGTATACCTTCACGTGCACACGACTCCCCAGGTTCCTTTCAGTGGAGGACGAGGGGAGCTTTATTGTCTGACATCATGCCACAGCTGGTTCGACTCGGGCTGCCACTGAGGAGGAAGGACCAGCAAGTAGTTTGCGGATACTGGAGCTCATCATGGCATCAGTGCTCTGTTATGATACTGTTAGCAGCCATTTGAACTCAGGAAAAAAGAAGACACTGTGTTGGGCTTTGCTATAAGTATCAGTTGCTCTGGGGTCAGGGTCTGCTCCAGAGTAGGCTTGAGAGATTCTAAGCTTTAGTACAAGAGAGAGGAGAGAGAAGAGAGATCTAAGAATAGACCAGGTTGAAGCTAGGAAAGCTCTCACTTAGGCATATCTTGCAACTGTCCCAGATAGGATCTCCAAGTTCTTTTCCAAATCAGTACTGAACACCTGCTCATTGCACAGCATAGTAGAACACTTAGTATGACTAACTCAGGGATGGTGAAGACATAACATGTTGTTGTTGTTGTTTGGTGCTGTCAAGTCAGTTCCAACTCATAGCAACCCTATATACAGCAGAACGAAACGCTGTCCGGTCCTGCACCATCCTCACAATTGTTATCCTTGAGCTCATTGTTGCAGCCACTGTGTCAATCCATCTTGTTGAGGGTCTTCCTCTTTTTCACTCACCGTCTACTTTACCAAACATGATGTCCTTCTCCAGGGACTGATCCCTCCTGATAATGTCCAAAGTATGTGAGACGAAATCTTGCCATCCTTGCTTCCAAGAAGCATTCCGGCTGTACTTCTTTCAAGACAGATTTGTTCATTCTTCTGGCAGTCCGTGGTATATTCAGTATTCTTCGCCAACACCATAGTTCAAAGGCATCAATTCTTCTTTGGTCTTCTTTACTCACTGTCCAGCTTTCACATGCGTATGAGGTGATTGAAAACACCATGGCTGTTGCCGACATTGCTAGTCGATCATGGCATGTTTTCCCACTGAGTCCTAGAATTATGCCCATGCAGCTCAATAGGTAGCCACTACTAGTTCATCAGAGGGCTTGTGAGATGAAGCCTATTTGCTGTCTCTATGCTAGATTAAACATACTATTGCTTCTTTTGCCTGATGTGGATACAAACCAGGAACTATTATTCTGCACCTTAGGATTATGAAAAATGCTGACACAAAACTGTGAAAAAAATTATTCTTCCAGAGGGAAGAACCAGCTGTGCAGTTCAACTCAGGAACTCTGGCCCTGAACAGGAAGGCCAAAAACAACCCGGATCCTACAATTTATCCAGTCCTTGACTGGAATGACATCAAATTTCAAGATGTGATTGGGGAGGGCAATTTTGGCCAGGTTCTAAAGGCGCGCATCAAGAAGGATGGGCTACGGATGGACGCTGCCATCAAGAGGATGAAAGGTCAGTGCTTGGCCATATCATGTCAGCATTGCACTAGGGTGGGGAGCAAACTTGACTTCCTGTTGAATCTTTCCTCTATGGCCTTACAGTCTTTAAACAAAAAATTGGCATGATGTCAGATAGAGCTCTTGTGTGCAACTGAAGGTGGTGTTTGTTTGAGTCTGAGCCTGTGATAAGGTCAGGACATAAACATGAAGGCAGGGGCCGTTGGAACACCACTGTATTGATTCCATGGATGTGAGATTATAGATTCAGATTATAGTCAGGTACTGCTAATTTATTGGGAGCATCATTGTTTCCCTTAATGTAGTGGTTCTTAAGATTGAGTGTGCATCAGAATCCCCTGGAATTTCTCATGCAGCAAGTCTGGGCCAGGGCCTGAGAATTTGCATTTCTAGTAAGTTCCCAAGTGATACTGATGGCAGGAACCACTGTCTTCATAATGGGCATCTATGTCAAAATCTCCCGGATAATATGAGTATTAGAAATGCACCCACTTGGGTTTCCCCCACGCCAAGATCTATCTACTACGTGAGAATTTCTGGGGTGCGGGGCACATGAGAATCTATGTTCTTAACAAGCTTTCCCAGTGACTCTTCTGTGTACTGAAGTTTGAAAACCACTGATCTACGATGACAAGAACTAAATCTTCTCCAGCTATTATCATTTCAAGACAGCTTGGTACCTATCCACTTAACAAGTTAAGATAATAAATGTCTTTTAAGAAAGCAAAATGACCAATTCCCTGGCAACACCAGCCACCATTTCTTCTGTCAGAAATACCAGTTTATGCATGTGGTCAAGTCAACCATTTGTTCACGTGAGCACGCCAGGGCACCAGATGCTGCTGACTGGATTGCAAAGCTGCACTGTTGGTTTTATGGCATACAGGCTTGGAAAGGTCTATGAGAGCAGGGATGCTATTAACTGATATTATCGTGCAGCTCCGTGTTAAGTGCTCTCTAAGCTCACTGATGAGTTTTCTTCCTACTTCACCTTCATATAGAGCCGAAGATGAGAATTAACGCTAAATCCTATTAAATTATCTCTGCTTTCTTTATTGTTAAAACCACATCAGAAAACAAACAAAACAAACAATATCATCTATGTTTAGAGATAGTAATATGCTCCCACCCCACTCCCCCCAAAAAAATGATACCTTGCCTAACCCTTTGCCATCGAGTTGATTCTGACTCATAGCAACCCTGTAGGACAGAGTAGAACTTTCCCATAGGGTTTCCAAGGCTTTAATCTTTAGGGAAACAGACTGCCACATCTTTCTCCATGGAGCAGCTGGTGGATTCCAACCACTGACCTTTCAGTTAGTAGCTGAGCACTTAACCGCTGTGCCAGCAGGACACCTTGCCTAACAGCTAGAAAAACTCCTTTTCTGTTTTGGTAACTTCGTCCCAGAGAGTTCTGGGGAACAGTGAGAACAGTGAGAAGAGATAAGGATAAGGTGCAGAACCTGGTGAAATCAGGTTTTGATTGAGAGCTGACCTGAGCCTGATGACGAGAGGTAACATCAGTTAACAGGGCACCAAGGCAGAAAATTCCTGCAGGCAGAATGATCCATCAAAAGGAGGGCAGTTACTGAAGCAAGAGGACAACTTCCTTGTAAAGAATTTCACTTTTAAGATGTTCCCAAGGCATTAACCCTCAGAGTTAGAGAAAAAGTGAGGTTCCCTTACTACGAACAGGGTGCTTGATTTGGAATTGCCTGCTAGTCAGTCTTACTGGCACCATTAAGCCCATAAGAGACATCCAGTCCCACCATCTCCAAGCACATTCAGGCACGCATGTGGTAACCAGCACCCCACTACCACCCTCCCCATGTTATTTTCTAAAAACAATAATAGCAAACTGTTACCAGTTCAAGGTTGGCCAGTCAGTTTGTACATCAACCAAAGAGCCTTCTCTTGAGCCTGCTGCCTGGTGGTTTTTCTCTCGAGTGAAAGTGCTAATGGTGAGACAGGGTGAAAAGAATAGAAACAAATGCAACTCAGTTTTCTGACTACCAAGCAACTTCTAGAAGAAAATATCATTGGGGTTTAATTTGTTTAGCAAGAGTATTTTGTAAAAAAAGGAAGTTAAAATCATTAAATAGAACCAGGAGCCTGTATTACTGGTGATGTTTCACTGCTCACTTTGGAGCTATTTCACAGCGTATTTATCTCTGGATGGTAGATTTGGCTGGAAGAGCTAGAGGCTAAAAGTTGAGGCAGCCTCACCTCTATCAAGTCATGTTTTCTGAGTATATGAGAGCTTAACAAGATAATTTTAGAGCAGTGGTTCTCACCCAGGGGTAGTATTGCCCGCAGGGGATGTCTGGCAATGTCTGGAGACATTTTTGGTTAGGCTATTGGCATCTAGTGGGTAGAAGTCAAGGTTGCTGCTAAACATCCTACAATGCACAGAACAGCCCCCAAAATGTCCATAATGTAAAGGTTGAGAAATCCTGCTATAGAGAAATCTCTTTAATTTGTGTACAGTCTTCTAGACCTGATGGTGACGGAGGGCACTTGAAGGTCCTGGAAAGAAGGAGAAGACAGTTGATTCGGAAGATGTACAGAGAGTGATCACAATCCTTGACTTTCTTCCAGAATATGCCTCCAAAGATGATCACAGGGACTTCGCAGGGGAACTTGAAGTTCTTTGCAAACTTGGACATCATCCAAACATCATCAATCTCTTGGGAGCGTGTGAACATCGAGGTAAAATGCTCTTTTCCTGTCTTTCCAGCCAGATTTTTTTTAAGGCACATTCTAAATTGAAATTAGGAAAGATAATAATCCTAAGACTGTCATCTTTTTCTTTTTTTTAAGTTGCAGCTTCAATTTGAGTGTCTAGTCCCATTTATCACTTTTTCCCAAGTTTGGCATCTTTCTGGAGATAGCAAGGCTGAATCTTTTGGCCATGATTTCCCAAAGCTATCTATAGTCCCTACCCACGCCCATCCTTGCCAATACAGAGGTTTCCTCAGCTATTACTACTAGGGTAGAGTTGGGGAACCTTCGCTATCAGAAAGAGCTAAATGCAATGGTTCTTCCTAATTGCCTGTCTTTTAATCTTTTCTCCAAACCCAAGGAAATCTAGTATTCTGAATGTTAAATCTTTGAATGCCAAAGATCTACTGTAATGTGAAAGTACTGATGATGCTTAGGTTAAAAGTGATAATAGGCTTTTATCTGACAGTGCTTTGTTTTGATCTAGTGTTTTCATGTGCAATTATATTGGAGATTTACAACTAACCTATATAGCACATACTCTTAAGGTTAAATTTACTTTATTAACTTAAATATTTATTGAGTGCTTCCAACTGTAATGTGTGTAGTTAGTTGCAAATGAGTAGGTAACCATCAAAAATCTTCTATGGGTTTACCTCTGTATGCAGTTCTGAATCTATACTTAAACTTAATCTCTGATGGAAAAGTTTGCTCCCACAAAAAAAGCTCCACGCAGTAATTATTTACAAACTTGACAACCTCTTGTTGACTTTGCAGCACAAACACCAACAATAGAAAAGTGACTATTTCCTTTTCCTCAATTTATTAAGCTAAAAATACTGGTGTTTGAAACTCTGAACAATATATCATTCTGTGATCCAATAAAGAGTGTAATTATGAAAGTCAGATCCTATCCCTTAGGTTAAATAATGAGGTAATGACATTTATTTTTGAGCTATTTCCTGAAAATAGTAACCAGTGTGGGACAGCAGTAAATGAAAGTTAACAAAACAAATAAAACAAACAAAAAAATCATTATCGACAACAGAAAACATGTATCTTTCACAATTTTTCTCCATCAACACATTAACACATAATTGGTTGGTTCTTGAAATTTATAATTCAGTAAAAAAGTGACAAAGCACATTTATATCAGTAAATGTCTCCTATGATAAAACAGGATGCAGTGCTAAGAGATTTTTTTTTTGCCAAAATTAGCATTTCTTAGAATATGTTTAAAGTTCAAATTCATTCAACATTTTAAAGAAAAAATGATTTACCACAAAATCCTCATTTAAAAGACAGTAAAGCATATTACTTTTCATTATCTCTGAAGATCAATGCATTTATCAAAACAAATTACTTTTTATCATGTCCAAAGAAGTGAAAAATTTGGAATAAAAATAAGACAAATGGATCATACTTTTTCTAGGAACTATTGTTTTACTTTTGCCTAAATACTTGAGTTTTCTGGTTTCTTTAAACAAAATGTCATCCCTGAAACTAGATTCCATTGGCCAACAGTCTAATCAGCAATATGGTGAATTAGTATGGATTTTGGGGGAGGAATGAAAGGCAGGAGAGAGAACCATCCATTGTAGGTCCTATTGCTATATTTATTCATTAAACCAACCAAACCAAACTCATTGCCATCAAGTCAATACCGACTCATAGCAACCCTATAGGACAGAGTAGAACTGCCCCATGGGGTTTCCAAGGAGCATCTGGTGGATTCAAACTGCTCACCTTTTGCTTAGCAGCCGAGGCTCTTAACTACTGCACCACGAAGGCTCCGTTTAGCCATTAGCTTAGTATTTTTTTTTTTTAATAACCTCAAGAAAAGCTAGAGATAGACTGGAATAACACACCTGGCCTATATTAGGTTCTCAAACAATATTGAACAAAGATAAAAGGTGATATGCAGAAGGGCATCCTAGATCTTTCTATAATGAATTCTTTAATTTCATTCTACTATTACTACTGAGCGCTGGTGGCACAATGGTTAAGAGCTTAGCTGCGAACCAAAAGTTTGGCAGTTCAAATCCACTAGCCGCTCCTTGGAAACTCTATAGGGCAGCTCTACTCTGTACTATAGGGTTGCTGTGAGTCAGAATCGACTCTACAGCAATGGGTATGTAGGGCTATATTATTATTGAAAGAAGCCCTGGTGTCACAGTGGTTATGTGCTCCAGTGCCAACCGAAAGTTTGACAGTTTGAGCCCACCAGCCACTCCAAGGGAGAAAGATGTGGCAGTCTGCTTCTGTAAAGATGACAGCCTTGGAAACCCTATAGGGCAGTTATACTCTGTCCTATAGGGTTGCTGTGAATTGGAATCAACTCAACAGTAATAGGATTGTTACTGAGGAGTCCTTCGGTGGTGCAAGCAATCAACATGCTCCATGGCTAACAGTACGGTTGGAGGTTTGAGTCCACCCAGAGGCACCTTGAAAGAAAGGCTTGGCAATCTAGTTCTGAAAAATCAGCCATTGAAAACTCTATGCAGCACAATTCTACTCTTATACGCATAGGGTCACCATGAGTTAGAGCTGACTCAGTGGCAACAACAACACTATTTCTGAATAAGCAAAAGGATTTCAGGAAGCCCACTCTGTTAGCACGTATTTTGAAGGGGGGAGTGGGAAACAGGGGAACCAGAGTTTAAGTGTGGGTTCCTTCGAGTACTGCAGGAGGGTGTCACTTCTCTTTCTCCTATCCCCCAGTGTTACTGAGGTTGGTATAACTAGATGTATTTATTTTAGGTAAAATGGAGTTTAAAACCAATTCCCAAGGGCCGCAGCACATTTCAAAAATTTCACAGCTCTTTAGGCCGCTCGTAAGGTGATGCGGTCTTCCTTTCCCCACAGGATACTTGTACCTGGCCATCGAGTATGCCCCCCATGGAAACCTCCTGGACTTCCTACGCAAGAGCCGCGTACTGGAGACTGATCCGGCTTTCGCCATCGCCAACAGCACCGCTTCCACGCTGTCCTCCCAGCAGCTTCTTCATTTTGCAGCAGATGTAGCCCGGGGTATGGACTACCTGAGCCAAAAACAGGTGTGTTCAGAGGACTTTGCTTTGGGCATCTTTCCTCTGAATAGTTCTCTCTATAGTCAGGGTTTATTTAGCCCTGGTGGTACAGTGGTTGAGAGCTTGACTGCTAGCCAAAATGTTTGCAGTTCAAATCCAACAGCTGCTCCTTGGAACCCCTATGGGGCGGTTCTACTCTGTCCTGTAGGGTTGCTATATGTCGGAATTGACTCAACAGCAACGTGGTTTTTTTTATCTCTTCTTTAATGCTTTCCTTCAATCTCCTGATTTAAAAAAAAAAAATTAATAGACTTTATTTTTTTGAGTAGTTGTAGGTTTACATAAAAATCATGTAAACAATTTCCCTAGTTTTAATCTCTTTGTTAATATTCTATTTTTATAGAAATTTATGCCCAGTACTTCCAATATATATTTCTCTGGCGAATTTCTTCCAATATGTATTTCATGAGGTGCCCTACCTGTGTTAGCTTGGCCTGGCTCCAAATAATATACAATCACAGAGGCATTAAATTGTAACCAGAAGATTTAGTGGCCTGGTTTTTTTTTTTTTTTTTTTTTTTTTGTGATACCGTCTCAGTATGGCACAGCACGGTTGTGATAGAAGTATCACTTTTTTTTTTTAAATTGTATTTTAGATGAAGGTTTACAGAACAAGTAGTATCTCATTAAACAGTTAGTACAAATATTGTTTTATGACATTGGTTAACAACCTCACGACATGTCAACACTCTCCCTTCTCGACCTTGGGTTCCCTATTACCAGCTTTCCTGTCCCCTCCTGCTTTCTAGTGCTTGTCCCTGGGCTATTGTGCCCCATTAGTCTCGTTTTGTTTTATGGAGCTGTCTAATCTTTGGCTGAAGGGTGAATCTCGGGAGTGACTTCATTACTGAGCTAAAAGGGGGTCCGGGGGGCCATACTCTCAGAGTTTCTCCAGTCTCTATCAGGCCGTTAAATCTGGTCTTTGTTTTTTTTTTTTGTGAGTTAGAATTTTGTTCTGCATTTTTCTCCAGCTCCGTCCAGGACCCTCTGTTGTGATCCCTGTCAGAACAGTCAGTGGTGGTAGTCACGGACCATCTGGTTGTACTGGACTCAGTCTGGTGGAGGCCGTGGTAGTTGTGGTCCGTTAGTCCTTTGGACTAATCTTTCCCTTGTATCTTATTTTCTTCATTCTCCCTTGCTCCTGAAGAGGTAAGACCAGTGGAGTGTCTTAGACGGCTGCTCACAGGCTTTCAAGACCCCAGACACTACTCACCAAGGTAGAATGTAGAACATTTTCTTTATAAGCTGTGTTATGCCAATTGAGCTAGATGTTCCCCAAGACCATGGTCCCCAGCCCTCAGCCCAGCAATTTGGTCCCCCGGGGAGTTTGGATGTGTCTGTGGAGTTTCCATGACCTTTCCTTATAAAAGTTGTGCTGCCTTCCCCAGTATTGTGTATTGTCTTGCCCTTCACCAAAGTTATCACTTATCTGTTGTCTATTTATATTCCCCCACTTCCCATCCCTCGTAAACGTCAAAGATTGTTTCTTTTTGTGTGTAAAGCTTTTCATGAGTTTTTACAGTAGTGGTCTCATACAATATTTGTCCTTTTGTGATTGACTTATTTCACTCAGCATAATGTCCTCCAGATTCATCCATGTTATGAGATGCTTCGAAGATTCATCGTTGTTTATAGTTGCATAATACTCCGTTGTGTGTATGTACCATAGTTTGTTTATCCGTTCGTCTGTTGATGGGCATCTAGGGTATTTCCATCTTTTAGCTATTGTGACCAATGCTGCAATGAACATGGGTGTGCATATGTCTACTTGTGTGACGGCTTTTATTTCTCTAGGATACATTCCTGGGATTGCTAGATCGTATGGTATTTCTATTTCTAGCTTTCTAAGGAAGTGCCATATCGTTTTCCAAAATGGTTGTATCATTTTGCATTCCCACCAGCAGTGCATAAGAGTTCCCATCTCCCCACAGCCTCTCCAACATTTGTTATTTCCAGTTTTTTTGATTCGTGCCAGTAATGCCAGAGTGAGATGCTGTCTCATTGTGGTTTTGATTTGCATTTCTCTGATGAGTGACCTGTTTTTTGTTTTTGTTTTCTGAAATGCTTCTCCCAAGACGTAGTGAATCTTTTGGCAGAATTCACAACTGAGAATTTTTTGGAGGAACTTTAAGGGAATTGGTTTCTGGTGACTTTTTGAAACCCCTTTTCATATTCTTTTCTCTTTTCTCCAAAGTTCTTGTCCCCAGAGCTTTGGGCTAACAAAATAAAGTGAAAAAAGCAAGTACTGCACTGAAGATAAATGATTTTTTTCTTTTTAATTTCAGTTTATCCACAGGGATCTGGCTGCCAGGAACATTTTAGTTGGTGAAAACTATGTAGCCAAAATAGCTGATTTTGGATTGTCCCGAGGTCAGGAAGTGTATGTGAAAAAGACGATGGTAAGTTCAGAACACGGACGTTGATAAACAATGTCTTTTCCAAGGCACCTCTCCCCCCTGGGTGTTGTTTCTCTTATAACATAGTGTTCCACAGTGATCACGGCATCTGGCTGTGCACTCCAGCAGACATTGTCCCGGCCAGCAAACAGCCTTTCTAAGTTGTGATTCCTAGAATGCCTGGAGGGTCCACATTACCCATGAAGAAGACACTGTCAGGCGTGGCCAAGTAATTTAACATGCCAGCCTCAGTGGTCCAGGGTCTTGGGTCTGCGTCCAGTCCAGACCCCTGGGCTTCTCCCTCAGAAACCTCTGAGGGGCTCCCACAATCGCTTTTATCTACAGCAAACATAGGAAGAAAAAAACACAATTAACATTAATCAAGGAAATAAATTAATGAGGTTCCTAAATCACAAGGAAGCACTACAGAGCCATTGGTAACTTCTACAGGCCCACATAACGTTTCCCTCTTTGCTGAAAGTTCCCCATTCATTCTTCAGGCCCCAATCAAATCCACTTTCATCTTATGATACTCACTCTCCAAAACAGTAATATTTTATCTTCAACTACAAAATCCCTGGAGAACTAACCATATAGTCTTAGAGGAACAGGGAAGCTGGACTCACTCTGCTTTTGGGGCCCACCCTGGAATCGTGAAGCCCTAGAAGTGCCACCTCCCTGGACATGTAGTGCTGTCTGACCACATGCCACCGACCTCTGCATTCCCTGAGTGGTGGGCAGAGGCCAGATAGACTGCGAGGCTTTGGGTGGCAAACACTGCAGTATTCACGGGTGTCTAGTAGGTCTACTCCAGCACAATGGCTCTCTGTCTCCTAGACCTGGTGAACATTACTTGGGTGCAGCATTCCTGGGACTATGCTAGTTTTCATAAGATATAGATAGAGGGTCCTTTTACCTTTATCAAAGGAGCCCTAGTGGCAGTGGTTAAAGTGCTAGGCTGCTAACCCACCAATTGCTCCGTGGGAGAAAGATGTGGCGGTCTGCTTCCATAAAGATTACAGCCTTGGAAACCCTATGGGGCAGTTCTCCTCTTAGACCCTTGGGATCTCAGGCAGGGCTGGTCTTGTGGGTGGGTGGTAAGGAATGCCTGCTTCCGATAGCAGGGGGTTGAAAAAGGCTCAAATCCCCTAAATAGTTCTAGCTTTGCCCCACCCCACTGGCCACTGTGGGCTGCAATGCCATTGTGAAGGCTTGGGCAAATCCCTGAGAGGGAGAGATCTTTCAGTGAGGTAGGGGGTCGGGGTCGGGGGGGAAGAAGAGGAGCCCTAAACCATCTAGAATTTGAGGAGAGTGAGTGGAAATCAACCTCAGAAGTCAGACTTCACAATACCCAGTCCAGATTTCATTTTGCCCAGCCTGGGGAGCAATCTGCAAGGAGTCAGGGCCAGGCACTCAAAGAGGAAGTGTGTGTCTCTGGTCCTATCCCCAAACCCAACATAAACTGCATTAGCTATAAATTATTTGAACCTCTATTAGTATATAAACCCACCATTCCTTTTGGGCTGAAATGTTCTTTTCTCCCTCATCCATCAGTGACCCCTATGCATCTTATAGATCTGCCACTGGAAAAGCTTCCCCTAGCTCCTCTAGGCACATTTGGTCTCCTGACTCCACCTTGGTGATCCCATTAGCCTTTCCCACATTTCAGTTTAATTCTGGGTTTCTATGCATGTCTAGCCTTTTCCAACATCTAGTGCCTCTGAGAGCCACAAGGTGAATAAATGAATGAGTACTCCATGCACACACACTTATATGCACATTTATTCAAATAGCACTGCTATATGGACCACTCGAGGGCAGAATGGCTACCTGACACTATTTTCTGGTCTTTGAATTTGAAAACACACTTGTAGGTGGAACATCCACTAAAATGACAGTTCCTGAGCTGATCGTGCCTTATGTCTGTAGAATTCTAAATGGAGTTCCCCATGGGTTTAGCATGAGCCACAGCTTCAGGCAAGGTGAGAGCCTTGTAAAGAGTCCCTGTACGGCCTAAGTAAGTGGCATCTCACTTTGTCCTCTGCAGGGAAGGCTCCCAGTACGCTGGATGGCGATCGAGTCACTGAATTACAGCGTATACACAACCAACAGTGATGTGTGAGTAAGCCTCTGATTACTGAACGGTTTTTTTATCCCCCCAGAAAACTTGCATTTGGCAGAGGTTTTAAAGGGAAGCAGGAATATTACATATCTCTGCAGAATAAAGCTAATCGATGACCTAAGAAAGAAATGAAAACACAGAGTAGATAATTTTCAGGTTGTAAAAAAGTCACTCATGGCAGCTTTTGGATTTCCTTCTGCCTATTGGTGAGAAACTTCAAGTTGTGAATTCTTTCTCTCCAGAGAAGAAAGGGGCAAAAGCCTTTCCATGGGTCCACTTCCCAGGCTGACCTCACTGTACAGGACCTAGATCAGGGGGACAGCCGAGGATGGCAGCTAGATGTCAGTGATGGGGACTGGGGAGGGGCCTGATGGTTGCGACCATTTCTGCCGGTAGCCTGCAGTGACAAATCTCAGGCTGGTGGTAGAAGGAAAGTTTGGCGTTGTGGCTTAGAGCATCTTGCCACCCCCTATTTTTAGGAGAAAAACTGAGGGTTGAGATGACTTCTCCAAGGGGTTTTGCTTGTACCTGTGGATGGGGAGAAGATTGGCAATTATTATGTCCTTTTATATTTTATCCCATGGAGTCCTCTGCAAAACTTTGAGGTACAAATTGTTATCTCCACTTTCAGAAGAGTATACTAAGAGGCCCCAAGAGGCTCAGTAATTTATCCAAGGTCAGACAAGTATTAGGTGGAAGAGATGAGCTTTAATTCGGATCTGTCTGGCTTAGAATTTTTTCCACAGTGCCACCTCACATTCTCTACCTACGGTGAATTAGGGGCTCTGGCAAAGCTAACACTGCTTCCCTGTTGCAATCATTGCATTGGTTTAGGAAAAGAGAAACCCATACTGTGTGTAAGGCCCTAGTCTAGAAGCAGACATTTAACATTTCTTTTTATGACGAGGGGTCGATCATCTTGGCATTTGGGCAGGAGATTGACTGGACAAACAGTTTGCTAATTATTGGTTTTGCACTTGTCCCTTCTGCAGATGGTCCTACGGTGTGTTACTATGGGAGATTGTTAGCTTAGGTAAGTATCCACGTTTACCTACTAGTGATCCTCTAGGCAAAGGAGTGGGCCGCTCTAGCGCTCCCTCACTGTGTAAATCCACAGGGCACCACTTGTATGTGGTGCTATCAGCTGTGACTTGGAAATAGAAACTAAGTGTTTACATGTATGAGTGTTTTTATCCTCACGTCTCTTTTTTTGAAAGCCCTGTGTCTAATGTCATATTTAATACTAACAACTTGATGGCCATGAACTTCATCAGTGGATTAATTGGCCCAACGTGTGCAAAAAGCCCTGGTGGCACAGTGGTTAAAGCGCTTGGCTGCTAACTGAAAGGTCTGTGGTTTGAACTCACCAGCCACCCCGTAGGATAAGGATGTGGCAGTCTGCTTCTGTAAAGATTTACATCCTTGGAAACCCTATAGGGCAGTTCTACTCTGTCCTACAGGGTCACTATGAGTTGGAATCAACTCTATGGCAATGGGTTTTTTTGTTGTTGTTACTTGTGCAAAGAAGTAGCAAAGCTGTAACAAGTTTATTCTACAACATTTTAAGATGGAATATTATGCAACTATTAAAAGTCACACTTCTGAAGGCCATTTAATAGCATGTGAAAATATTCATGCCAAAAAACACATCAAAATTTCATATAAACTATGATCCCAGTTTTCTAAATACTACATATGAAAAAAAACCCTAGAAGACACTAAACAGAAAGGAAATACAAGTTATTATATTTTTTCTTCATGCATTTTTGTATTTTTGAAAATTTTCTACAATGAACATGTGTTGCTTTCATAATTAACATTGGACAATATTATAGATAAAATAGGTGTTGCATAACATAACTATAGACTTTCAATTAGAAAAATATAAATATCATTGATACAATAGATGTGCTGTGTGTAGGCAGACTCATGGAAGAGAATGAAATGCAGTAGTGAACCCTGTGGTGGATCTTCCCACTGAAGGAATGGTTACACTTTTGCGGGGTCCGTAGCCTAAGTCCAGTTTTGATACACATGGGTTTGTAAAGGTAGGCAAGACCTTACTGGGTGCTCACCTTCCCTGACAGAGCTTGTCTTTCTTCCAGCGTCTTGGCCCTATAGGCCCCGAGCAGGAGCAGCCCGCTGCCTTCAGCACTAGAGGGGGCTTAGGGTGGCACCCTTTCCTGTCTTTCAGGTGGCACCCCCTACTGTGGGATGACGTGTGCAGAGCTCTACGAGAAGCTGCCCCAGGGCTACAGACTGGAGAAGCCCCTAAACTGTGATGACGAGGTGTAAGTCGGGCCTCACCCTGGGGCCATTTTATCTTAACCTACCCCCCTGCATGTCTCCTGGGAGGCTGACTTTAATGAAGGAATCATCTGATGCATACATATACATATACGTGTACACACACATACACGTATACAGATACACATTTGCTAATACCTACATACACACACATACACTGAGATCCCAAATAGCCAGAAAAAGGGGGTTGCTAAGATCATTATGCAATGGGCAGCGGGTGATAACTTTCCAGGCATAGAAATTTAAGTGGAATTTAAGGTGATGACTCTTGGAAACGTTGAAATGAGGAAAGGAAACAAATGACTAGATCTGGAATATATTCACGAAATTACTCATGAACAAATAAATGTATAAAACCTGGAGACTAACTTGGGGTGGAGATTTCAGAGCTATGACACCATGGGAGATGGATTTCTCTTTGTAGAATCTTGCTTCTGCTAGGATTATTTTTTGGGAGTAAGAAATATTCCTGGCGGAAGAATGATTAACTTTGGTGATATCTCCATTTCCAAAACGAGCCATGGGCGAATCTGTCTTACTGGCATGGTTTGAGGAGTGCAAGGCTTTACCACAAAACATCCTCTTACACATAGGTTGAGCAAGTAATTTATTTTCCAAACTGGGTCACTTCTAAGAATGAAAGAGCATTTTATTAATAATGTCACTAGCACAAGAGACATAAATCTAGACTGTTGTGAGCAAAGCTGGGCATACTTGGGCCATCACTGGACATAGTCCCTGAAATTCCAACTTTGAGACTCATTCAACAAAGAGTGAGAACATCTTTCAGACATTAAGAAACTTTTGTTAAAGTACAAATAGTTCTGTTAGCTATCATCCTAGACCAATGGTTGATAGCCTTACGTGTTTATAAGTTTTTCCTGAGGCATTTGTTCAATACATGAACTCTTGAGCCCCACTCACAGACATTCTGATTCTGGAGGTCTAGGCTGGGTCCCAGGAATCTGCATTTTTATAATACAGGTAATTGTGACCACATTTGAGAAAGCACTGCCTTAGACCAGCGTTTCCCAAACTATGTTCCATGGAACACTAGTGTCTTGCAAGATATAAATAAATGATACAGGAATTCTGTTGTCAATTAAGTTTAGGGAGATTTGTGTTAAACCCAGTTAAGCAAGTTTTTGGTCTTTCTGTTCCTTTCTTCTTCTTCATTTTTTTTTTTTTGGTGGGATTTTCTAAGGCTTTTACTATGTTTAGGGAAGAGGAAGATGCAATAGGTGGAATTTTACAAATTTATTTAGTGCATGGAGCCATATTTTTTTTTTAATGAAACACTGCACTTTGAGAGAGAGAGTGTTCCAAGGAAAATGCTGCCCTAGATGTATAGTTCAGTTCTCTCTGGATGATCAGAACAGCTGAGACAAGATCCTGTGAGAACGGCACCCAGAGTAGGCACCAAAACTAATGAGAAGGGGAGAGGACTTGGATAGGGAGGTGGGAGGCCTAATAGAAACTTCCTAGGTATTGTGTTTTTGTCTTTGACTGACTAAGCTTAATGACCATGAACTGAATAGCTACACTCTCTTCTCTTTTTTCCTGTCTTGCACTTAGCCGTGCAAAGGATTGAAGGACAGTGATAGAGTTAACCCTTTAACTCTTTTTGAAGGTATGACCTAATGAGACAATGCTGGCGGGAGAAGCCTTATGAGAGGCCATCATTTGCTCAGATACTGGTGTCTTTAAACAGGATGCTAGAAGAACGAAAGGTGAGTATAGAGTTCAAAGCAGGGGCTTTTTAATTGGAATTCCTGAAGTGCCCAGTGTGGCTAATTAAAATGTAGTTGATGCAATTCAATAAGTTCTTCTGGGCATAGTCCTAGGTATTATAGGGGCGGAGGAGCCCTGGTGGCACAGTGGCTAATTGCTCGGCTGCTAACCAAAAGGTCGGCGGTTTGAATCCACCAGCTGCTCCACAGGAGAAAGATGTAGCAGTCTGCTTCCATAAAGATTGCAGGCTTGGAACTCTATGGGGCAGTTCTACTCTGTCCTATAGGGTCACTATGAGTCGGAATCACTCGACAGCAATGGGTTTTTGGTTTATTATAAGGACATAAAGAAGGATGTGGCTCCCAACTTTGAGGAAGTTGCAATTTGAGGGCAAATAAGATTTCTATACGAGGCATAGTCACACACTGGAACAACATATAGTATTAGCCTAGTAGAGCCAGAGGGATTTTATCAGTCATATAGCCTGACCCTTTCATTTTATAGATGAAGAAACAGACTCAGAGAGGTGAAAGTGGCTTGCCCAAGGGCACGTTGCAAGTAAGCAACAGAACCTGGCCGAAACAGGTTGCTGTGGGGAGAGTCAGGGACCCTACAAAATTTCTAGACTGTAGTTAGTTGGTTATATCTATCTGGGGTTCGAAAGACAAGTCTGGGCTAGTCATTAAAACTCAAGCAGTAGTCAAACCAGAGACAAGGGTGAGATCACACAGAGAGATATGAAGCTGAGAAACGGACAGAGGAAGGAGCCCTGAAGAACAGGAACATTTTAGGAGGAACCACTAAGAGACAGAGAAAGGGAAGATGAGTGACTTAGGAAAGGGAGAGGATGAAATTTTACTTGCAGAAGCCAAAGAATGCATTTCAAGAAGAGAGTGGGCAAACACAAGAGACGAATTAAGGGCAGAAAAGCGTCACCCAAGTACCTAATGTTTGAGTTGAAACAAGCTAAGAAAAGCCAGTGTATGACTGTCGCTGACCCTGGCAGAAGCAATACCTAGGCAGCCTGCATCTCTAAACCCTCTTGCTCTTCCAGACCTATGTGAACACCACGCTTTATGAGAAGTTCACCTACGCAGGTATCGACTGCTCTGCTGAGGAAGCGGCCTAGAAGACCCTCTTCATCAGCATACCATCTGTTCCCTTCACCAACATGAGAGACCCTTGATACATGCTGAGAAAGCAAGCAAGCCACTGCCTAGGAGATGTGATATAGAAGATAGAGGTGTATATATATTGCTGTATGTCTGGGACCCTCACCACAAAACCCCCCGTGTGGATCTGTAGTACACTCTGACTCTACTAGGACTGTATATACTGCTTGGAGTAAGAATGTGCAGAAATCAGAATGCCTGTTTGCGGTTTCATATGCAATAATATATTTTTCTAAAAATGTGGATTCATAAGGAAGGTATGAGAGTACAATTACTGTAATGCATAACTTGTTCTTGTCCTAGCTATTTTTGATATTCACGTTTATATTGAATGCTATAAAATGTTTTGCTATGTAGAAGTAAAATACTGTTAGTAAGCCTAACAGTGATCTTGATAGCACAGGTGAGAAAAGGGGTGGAAATGTATGAATTCCAATAGGCCATAGGTTAACATTTAAGAAACTGAAAAATCTAGATGATATACGAGAGATTCCTCTATCTCTAAATTTTCTTACCTGTAGAAGCCAGCTCGAATTTCTTTGGTTATATGACAACTTTGTCATGTGTTTACAGAGCCCACAAGCCAGTCCAGAATGCTAACATCTAAAAACAGACTTAAAACTCATTTCTGAGAAGCCTGAAAACCCTTAGAGAAGCATAAATAAGTTTAATAGATTGATTAATGGGATTTAGTTGTAGTTTCTGTGGTAACATTGATTTATGTACTTTAAGAAATAAAAACAGGAAGCCTGGAGTTATATTTGGGAGACATGTGACATTTATCATACAAAATTAAAATCCCTGCATGTATTGCACATTGTAAAAAGTTTTAGCCTTCATCTGTTGTGAGTTTACCAATTATACTGTAGGGTCATATTGCACTGAGATCATATAGTAAATGAATAAATGTCTTGCCTACCCACTTATGGTCCAGCAGTGTGTCTCATGTTGTTGTTAGGTACCATTGAGTCAGTTCCGACTCATAGTGACCTTATGTACAACAGAATGAAACACTGCCCGGTCCTCACCATCCTTACAATTGTTGTTATCCTTGAGCTCATCGTTGCAGCCACCGTGTCAATCCATCTTGTTGAGGGTCTTTTTCTTTTTCGCTGACCCTCTGCTTTACCAAGCATGATGTCCTTCTGGTACTGCTAAATGTCTTTATTATACTTTAAAGAAAAAGCCTTAAATGATCAACCCCTAATATGTCAGTGACATGCATGTAAAGCAGCTGGTGAGTAAACTCCACCAGACATGGTCTGTCAAGTTCACAAGACTGGAAAGGTCTCCTAGAAGTATCCTAGTGTCCAGTCCGTTTTCTTGGATCAGACACTGTCAGAAGAGGTCACTCTCTGGTAGTGTTCCAGTGTGACCTGAGGGCCTAGAACTGGAATCCCTTTTACTTGTGTTATAATGTTAAATTGTGGTTCAACATGCTGCACAAAGTTGCATTTTCCTGCCATCTAACCAAACTGTGTGTCCAAAACAATGACCAGGAAACCAGAATTTATCTTAAATACTCTTTATTCACAACAGCATATTTAAGCAGAGATAGCAAAAAAGCAAGGCTGCTTGCTGGTATAACATTTATTTAATCAACTAAATAGAAACCCAAATGAAGGACCATTGAAAATAGATCCAAATATATATAATAGTTCCTTTTGCCTTTTACCCAAGTGTTGTGCAAATACTCTTGTCAACTCTTGGTTTGAATATGCAAGAAATTCAACAAGAGCAAAGATGGTCTCAAAATGCAGATACTGTCCTCAAATTTTGCATATGGCTTTGGAATTCATGATAACATTTTTTCTATAATAGCCTGATCTTCCTGATTATATGTTGTTTGAAATAACACAAACTGATAGAAGTATGAGCTTATATCACATCAAGTGCGTGAGAAGAGAGATGACCAAGAAGTATTTGCAGTAGCAAGAAACAGATGCTCAGTGAAAATTAAGATTTAATTGTAAATTCAAAATACCAAGGCTTGAGGCATATACACTGAGGGCATATCATCACAGTTAACTGTCAGAAGGCCCACTTCTGCCACTGAGGCCATACTATTGATTACCCTGTGACTCAGCTACATCATTGACAATGAAACCTTTGTAGTTTTATAGCATGTTAGTAGCATCAATATTGAATATTTGTGGACTTTACTCAAAGGTAAATAGTTAAACCGAATAAAATTATGTAGAGTTTACATAGGCCAGTTTCCAAATTATCAAAAAGCAATTAAGAAAGAATGAACTCCTCAACAACAAAAAGACAAATAGCCCAATTAAAAAATGGGCAAAGGATATGAGCAGGCACTTCATCAAAGAAGACATTCAGGTGGCTAACAGATACATGAGGAAATGCTCACGATCATTAGCCATTAGAGAAATGCAAATCAAAACTACAGTGAGATACCATCTCACCCCAACAAGGCTGGCACTAATCCATTAAACACAAATAACAAACATTGGAGAGGTTGTGGAGAGACTGGAACACTTTTACACTGCTGGTGGGAATGTAAAATGGTACAACCACTTTGGAAAACAATTTGGCACTTACTTAAAAAGCTAGAAATAGAAGTACCATACGATCCAGCAATAAAATAAAATAAAAGCGCCACACAAATAGATATAGTTACACCCATATTTACTGTAGCGTTGTTCACAATAACAAAAAGATGAAAATAACCTAGGTGCCCATCAACAGACCAATGGATAAACAAATTATGGTACATACACACAATGGAATACTATGCAACGATAAAGAGCAATGATGACTTCGCAAAACATCTCACAACGTGGATGAATCTGGAGGGCATTATACTGAGTGAAATTAGTCAGTCACAAAAGGGCAAATACTGTATGAGACCACTATTATAAGAATTCAAGAAAAAGTTTAAACACAGAAGAAAGCATTCTTTGATGGTTACAAGGGTGAGAAGGGAGGAGGAGGGAAATTCACTAACTAGGTAGTAGACAAAAATCATCTTAGGTGAAAGGAAGTACAACACACAACAGAAGGGAAGTCAGGACAACTGGACCAAAGCAAAAGCTAAGAAGTTTCCTGAATACAACCAAGCACGTCGAGGGACAGAGTAGCTGGGGCTAGACCATGGTTTCAGGGGACATCTAGGTCAATTAGCATAACAAAGTTTATTGAGAAAATATTCTGCATCCCACTTTGGTGATTGGTGTCTGGGGTCTTAAAAACTTGTGAGCAGCCATCTAAGATGCATCAATTTATCCCAATCCACTTGGAGCAAAGGAGAATGAAGAACACTGAAGACACAAGGAAAATATTAGTCCAAGAGACAAAAGGGCCACATAAACCAGAGACTCCATCAGCCTGAGAACAGAAGAACTAGATGGTGCCTGATGGAACAGGAGAAAAGTGTGGTGCAGAACTCAAATCCATGTAAAAAGACCAGACTTAATGGTCTGACTGAGACTGGAGGAACCCTTGAAGCCATGGCTTCTGGATGATGTTAACCCAGAACTAAAACTATTCCAGAAGCCCACCCTTCAGACAAAGATTAGACTGGACTATAAAACAAAATAATACTTGTGAAGAGTGTGCTTCTTAGTTCAAGCAGATACACAAGACCAAATGGGTGGCTCCTGTCTTGGAAGGCAGGATGAGAAGGCAGAAAGGGAGAGGAGCTGGTTGGATGGACACGGGATACCTGGGGTGGAAAGGAGGAGTGTGCTGTCACATTACAGGGATTGCAACGAGTGTCACATAACAATATGTGTATAAATTTTTGTATGAGAAATTAACTTGAGCTGTAAACTTTCACCTAAAGTACAATTAAAAACAAAAAAAGAAAGAAAGAAAGAACAAACTAATTCCTCAAAGGGATTAGACAATTCAGGTACTGGGAATAGAGATTAGAATTTACTATGTTTAGAAGACCCAAGACACTGGCTTTTTTTAAAAAAAAAAATGAGTTGTTGATATAAATTTATAAACAAGTATTAGTACACAAAGTTAGAATAAAAACACAAACGACCAACATCTTTATGTCAATAGAGTATACTGAAAAATTTACATTTACTTCCATATATGTTTTGTGAGGGAAAATCTTCACTTCTAAGGAAAACTGTTACAATTTTGTTAGGTAAAGTTCTTTGTTTTGTTTTTTAGCTCTAAGCGGTATGATTGCTTTAGGTGTTCAGAGAGAAAAAAAATGTAGGCAAGCTGAGAAACGACATTTGGGAAAGTCATGGACCCTTTCTCCAACTCTAAACCATCATCCACTGTTATTTGCACAGTGAACTCACCACTTATGATGATGAGAGAGAAATCTGAACCAACTTAATTTCCCTCTAGCCCAACTTTAGAAATCATTATGGAAATTTAACTTTTAAAATGTGCACTAAATAAACATCAACAGTACTATTCCTCCTTCCTTTCTCTTTGAAAGTGCCAAGGCACCTCATGCCATTATAGACCAAACTCTACCGCCAGCAGTGGAGGCCGCGTGAGTCCCTGAAGCAGCAGTGCAAAGATTTAAGATGCTCTTGAAGAAAGTGACTACTTCTTTCCTTTCAGGTCTTCTTTTACCTTCCAGAGGATCAGTTCCATGCAAGCTGTTCCATTTTCACTAGTATTGTGACCTCCAAATAGTACACAATATAAAACAACACGTTAGATATAAGATGACCACATCTGTGAGGTTAACCACACATGCTCTCAAAATGAAGCCTTCGGTTTATGTTAATAATAAAATCAACATTGTCCACTTACCAAAATATAATTATTTAAGACCCAAGTGTAATTATTTAAGACTTAAGATAATAAATGTTTTATATAAATCGACTAGATTAACAAACATCTCCTTTCTATGTAGCATGTCCTCCATCAGATGACCACTAATTTGCCATGAACTGATGATGGTATATGGCTATCTCAGCTGTGTACCTCTTTTCCAGGGAAGTATAACAAAGTGACAGGTATTACCAGGGGACAGAGATCTGGCAAGAAGCCAGAAATACGGAATGCTAGAAAAAGTACACCTCTTTAAACAAACAAAAAGATGACCTTAGATACACGGTTACGTAGTTTAAAAAATAGCCAAAATTCACCGAAAATATAGAGTCTACCATTCTGATGAAAATAATAAATGACATCTGAGATTAAGTGAGAAAAATCATATGGTCAACCCTTCTAAAATGGCATAATATTTTTTATCTTTTGTGTCTTACTCTGAGAATAACATGTTATAACATTAACTTTTAGAAGATTTCATTCTAGAAAGGCGATTTTTTTGTTGTGAAGTGAAATTTTTTATGCCCGTAGTTCAAGATTATTTTTAATAGGACACATTAAACTTTTATAATAGAATTTTGTGGGAATTCTTTGTGAGATATGAATAATTTAACAAAGCAGATGATGTAAATTAAAGACTATGCAAAACTCTGTCAGTGGACCTACAAGGAAATCTGCATTTTGTATAATTAATGACAAAAGACCTCTTCAAAGTGTTAAAAAATAAAGATGTTGAGGACTAAGGTGCGCCTTACCCAAGCCATGGTATTTTCAATCACCTTATATGCATGCGAAAGCTGGATGATGAATAAGGAAGACCAAAGAAGAATTGACGTCTTTGAATTATGAGGCTGGTGAAGAATACTGAATATACCATGGACTACCAGAAGAACAAACAAATTTGTCTTGGAAGAATACAGCCAGAATGAGCCTTAGAAACAGGGATGGCGAGACGTCGTCTCACGTACTTTGGACACATTATCAGGAGGGACCAGTCCCTGGAGAAGGACATCATGCCTGGTAAAGTAGAGGGTCAATGAAAAAGAGGAAGACACTCAATGAGATGGATTGACACAGTGACTGCAACAATGGGCTCAAACACAGCAAGGGTTGTGAGGATGGCGCAGGACTGGGCAGTGTT